GTGAGCGTAGCTCGATCCCTGGGGTTGCAGGAAGGCACACCTATGCATGAAGACACATTCTGCTACTTCAAGGATCAGGGCAGCTGTCTAGGGCCATTGTGAATGTGGCCAGATCACTACGAAAGTGACCAACAGAGCCTCTACCRATCACGGGAAGGAAAATGCTGGTCACTCAGCAYGATGCCCCAAGTGCCTTCCAGGGGTCTTGCCAAGGGAACCTGGGGGGTCCTGCTAGTGAGAATGTAAGAGGCAATGTCCTGGCCTCATGGCTCTTGGCCAGCAGTGGCTGTGTAAGACAACTTTGGGCCAACACACATGAACATTAGTGGGCCGGAAGMTCAGTGTCCAGGACCCAATGGGCTGGGCACCCCACATGCATGCCTGAGCTTCTCCCAAGTGCTAAGAGGAGCAGGGCATGGGCTCCCCTTCTAAATGCTCACAGATACTGTCCCTGGCTAGTCTTGGGATACAATCCCTCTTCTGTGACTTTGTCTCCTGTCTGTTACCTGAGGCTACTGGGAGTCTGTGATTGGGGTCCTCAGAATTTGTTTCCTCATGTCTGTGATGCTGGAACGTTGGAGATCCCCAGATTCAAGGGCTGAGCCCTGAACTGTCAGTGCTGTCTGGGCTGGGATAGCACCCCCTGGAATACCATGGGTGGCCCGTCAGCTGGGGAATGGTTGGAGACATCAGTAGCTGGGTGGGAAGTRGGGAGTGGAGCACACAGAAGAAACCAATGCAAGAAACAGTGCCAGTGATTTATTGCAGAAGATGTGGCGATGGCTCTGAGGTGCCCTCCACCATGTGTCCCTTCATCCGCTCCCGCCTGGGRGCCGATTACACTTGCACACAGTTGTGTTTGAGAAGCTGAGAAGAGTTCTTCCAAGGGACTTCGAGGATCTCAAAGTCACAGCGCAGTTTCTGTTGAGAGCCAAGGCACAGGGAGGGGTGAGCCCAGCCCAGGGGTCAGCCTCCTCCCAGGAGCCAGCTCTCTGCCTGCCTTGTCACTCTGGGGCCACAGAGGGGCAATCACTGGCCCCAGCGACACACAGTCTGATGATGGGACTAGATCCTAGGTCTTTCCAGCAAATCCCCCACACCCAGGAAAGCTTCAGCCTCTCCTCTTGCACCTCATACTGGCCTGAAGCTGAGTCACCCAAAAACAGGGCAGGTTCAGCTAGGTCTCTGCCCAGCCAGCCAGACCAGCTCAGGTGGGACAAGCCCAGGGCCTCAGGTTCTGTGCAGGRTGCGGGCTTGGGGCAGTGCTGTTACCTCCTGCTGCACCCCTGTGGCCAGGGGGCAGGTGGTGAGGTCCACATGGTCTCCAGAGACCCTGGTYTTCCGGCACGCTGTRCTCTCCATCTCCACTGTCAGGTAGTACTTGATGCCAGCCACCAGCTGGGGAGGAGCCAGGTAGGTGAAGGGTGCCAGGGAAACAGGCCTGGATATACCCCTCCCTCCCTCCATTGTGCCCCACTGTCCCAAGCACATAAAGGGCTCTGAGCTGGGGACCCAGACCTGGAGTGGGTAAGGGGCTCTGGTGGGTCCTGGGGCAGGGGGAAGGGGGAAGAGGCCGGGTCCCTTCAGGAGGCTGAGACCCACCTGGGCACACCTTCCCAAAGCTGGGGCCRTCACCAGGGAGAGGCTATTGTCCTGTCCCCTCTGCCTCCCCTTTGCCCCCATCTAGGAGGGACCAGGGGGATTCTAGTGAAGGGAACTCTGCATTTACAGGATTGGATCCTGAAACTTGGTTCATGGTGGACTTTTCATTTTGAGAAGCCAGGTATGGCGGCGCACGCCTATAATCCTAGTGGCTTGGGAGGCTGAGGCAGGAGAACCGTGGGTTCAAAATCAGCCTCAGCAAAAGCGAGGCACTAAGCAATTCAGTGGGACCCTGTCTCTAATTAAAATCCAAARCAGGGCTGGGGATGTGGCTCAGTGGTTGAGTGTCCCTGAGTTCAACCCCCATTACCAAAAGAAAAGAAAGCACTGTACAGTGGGCAGAGGTGCAGCTTGGTGCTTAAGCACTTAACATGCCCAAAGCCCTGGGTTAGATCCCCAGTGTCACAAAAAATAAATGAACATTTAAGAAAGTATTGTGGGCTAGAGCTGTAGCTCAGTGATAAGAGTACTTGCCTTGCATGTACTATGTGGGTTTGATCCTCAGCACCACATAAAAATAAAGATATTGCACAAACTACAACTAAAAAAATTTTTTTAAGTATCGTATGCAATATTGCTTTCTGCCTTGGCATCCCCTTCACTGCTAGGCAGTGACTAGCCCTGGCGGGGTTCACTTGCCCAGCTCACCTGGCTCTGCGCCTTGATGACGTTCGTGTCGCGGAAGTAGTAGAGGCTATTGCTGCCCATGTTGTAGCTGGCCACAGCTGCCTGCGCCGCCCTCTGCACCTGCGGGTCGTTGGGAGCCAGGTCCTGGCGTTCTCCAGTCCTGCGGCCCCGCAGATCAGCGCGGGCGTCAGGGGACAGCGCCAGGAGGCAGAGCGCGATCAGAGCCAGGCCCATCGCCAGCGGGAGGTGAGAACGTGCCATGGCTGCAGTGTCAGTGCCAAGCCGAGGCCTGTGCTGCTTTTACGGGCTCCCTGGCCCCGCCCGGCCCCGCCTGCCGCCAGTCGCCCCCGGATCCCGGCATGGTGCCTTCCCCACCCCCAGGTCCTGCAGGYTGGGCCGAGGGGTCAGAGAACCCCTGTGTGCCACAATGCTGCGTTGCCCAGCCCTCCAGCAAGGGAGAGCACAGCCACAAACCCCAGCACTAAGTGCCACTGTAGGAAGAGTTCACAGAAAGTCTGTCCAGTCTGATCTACCAACAGCTATGTTTGAGCTCTTACTGTCCCACCATTTCTGGGCTGTGTGACCTTGGAGAKGTTACTTAACCTCTCACTGTTTCTGTTTCCTCTTCTGGAAAGTGAGTATTGTGAGGATTCAATGAACTGATACAAGTAAATTGGAAGAGGCCAGATGTTCAACAAACAGCAGGTAAGTAGGTGACATTACTGCCCTGAGCCAGTGTCATTTAACTCACAATCAGCACCAAGAGGGAATTAYAGTGTTTCCACTTTGCAGAGGAGGAAATAACATGGAAGGGAGAACTGATTTGACTATAGACAGCAGTTGATCACCAGTAAATGGAGATGCTGGCTTTTGAGCCCYGGAGCTCTAAGAACTTAGCAGTCCTAAACCAGACTGAGTCCCAAGGGTGAGAACTGTCAGAAAAAGGGGCTGTCATACCTGTTGCTGTTTAACTGACTGGGTGACTCTGGACAAATCACTCAACTTCTCAGAGCCTCAGCTGAAAAAAAGGGTAACAATATTTTTCTCCTGGGCTGGGGATGTGGCTCAAGCRGTAGCGGGCTTGCCTGGCATGCRTGCGGCCCGGGTTCGATCCTCAGCACCACATACAAACAAAGATGTTGTGTCTGCCGAAAACTAAAAAATAAATATTAAAAATATTCTAAGAAAAAAAAATATTTTTCTCCTAAGTTTGTTCTAACGCCAATGCCTCCAGACCGAGTCACCCCTAGGCACACTGGACAAGTAAGTGCTAGAAGTACCAGCAACATWGGGACCCCACAACTTTTTGAAAGACTCCAATAATAAATATATAAAAAATAGCATTGAAGTAATCAAYACAGGAAAAGCCTGGACTTTGTTAGAATTCTTTGTGCTTTAGAGTCTGCATAATTTGGACTTTAAAATATGTTGGAGAGCCAGGACATTTGTCCTTGGGACATTGAAATCTTTTTGGAGTCTTACATGGGGCTCAGAGGAGGTGGCCACTTACAGGACCTGGSAAAAAAATTGGTGCTTTGTTAGTGATAGCTATTATTGGTTTGGTTTGTGGTGCTGGGGATGGAACCCAGGGGTACTCTACCATTGATCTACCTCCCAAGCCTTTTTTACTTTTTATTTTGAGACCACATTTTGCTAAATTGCGGAAGCTGGCTTTGAACTAAGATCACCCTGCCTTGGCCTCCTCCTGAATTGCTGGRATTACAGGTGTGTGCCATCACCCCGACACTATTATTTTTTTTTTAATATTTTTTTTATTTTTTTTTTGAGAGAGAGAATTTTTTAATATTTATTTTTTAGTTTTTGGCAGACACAACATCTTTGTTTGTATGTGGTGCTGAGGATCGAACCCRGGCCGCACGCATGCCAGGCGAGCGTGTTACCGCTTGAGCCACATCCCCAGCCCCCRGCACTATTATTGTGGTGAGTATCATAAGCAGACATCCAGCATTCCCCCTTCCCCAATTCTAGAATCCCAGGGCCATGAGGAAGTGATTTCTCAGACCAGAGCATGGTCACTGYCAGTCCAGCTGCCAGTCTGCTTCCCCACCCAGTCAGTCCAGCTATGAAAAACAAACTGCTACCTCCCTGGGATTCCAAGGAAAAGGTCACAAGTTTGTCACAGGCTCAGGTGTCTGTCTTAAAGAGACAGACTTCTGTTTGTTGGAGAGCTGGCCTAAGCTTGGATGATGAGGAGGCTTGGCCAGGTAGGGACCATGAGTTGAGAGGCATAGGATAGCTCACAGGGAAAGGTGGGAGGCTGCCCAAAGGGACCAAGCTACCTCCCTGGGGCCCCCAGCTCTGCTCTTCCACCGTGGAGCTCAGWCATGGCCACACTTACTTCTCATAGCTCCCTTGAAAAGTAAAGCACCATCTCTGATTCACCAAGAACCAGTGAGTCACCAGTCACTGTCACCTACCTTGTCCATCACTGCTTTGTGCTAATGTCARTGAGTCTTTGGTGCTACAATCTAGCAATTTCCAAGGACTTCTCATCCATTGATTACTCCTCTCAAACCTTGAGGTAGTGGTATCCTCATCTGCAGAAGAGTTAATCAGAGCTAATCTGAAGTCACTTGGCTAGAAGTACYATCTGGAGAGAAAAAGAGGGAGAGGAGAGGGAAACTAACCATCACTGGACTCTTGCCACATGCTACGCCTTGAGTCACATTTTCTTGTTCTCATAGTGGCTCTGCAGAGTAGTGATTATTACCTCTTTCTACACGGAGGAAATGAGGGGTCAAAGAAGAAATGGTAGGACCTGGAGTAGCACCCACATGCCCGCAATGTCCTGTGCTGACSAGGCTGTTATGCAGCGGGGTGCTTCCTGAAGGTGGTCTGTCTCATCCAGAAAGGAGCCTGTAGTCTGGGCTCCATCCTGKCTGGATCACTCTGGCTTCCAGAAAACGCCCTGGGCCAAGCATGAACTTGAGATTGGCCATCCCACTGGCCATGGGGCACAGGCTCCAGATTTGCTGTGGCCCAGGCCTTCCAACCCAGGTTGCCCACAGCACCCTTCTCTTTCTCATGGCCTGATGGGTCTTGATGACCAGGGAGGCCTCTCACAACCTCCTCACCTTGGGCCCACCCTGGCAGGCTCCTTGCTGTAGCCCACCCCATCCCTCTTCCTTGAGACTTCAGCTGGGTGAARGACATTCTCTCCCTAGGACTCTGCTCCCCTTGTCCTGTCACACATATCCTGGAAAGAAAACTTCCTGGCAAGGACACGTGTGACTCCATGGAGGAGTTCCCCTCAGTGCCGGGGTGTCCTGTTCATCAGCTGATTGAATCTTCAGAGCCCTGCACTGGGTGGAACAACTGGCTCCAGATCACCAGGTGACCCAGGGAAGAACTTGTGCCTCTGGCTGGTTCTTCAAGGTTACCATTAGTTGAAGCCAGAGTGATGACCGCAGAGAGAGTCCTGGTGCCTGCAGGGAGGGGACACCCTGAAAGGGAGGCCACAGCCATGAGCACCAACTGGGCRTCTTCTATTCCATCTGGGTTGCCACTGGGCTAGGTAGGGAAGGTGTCTTGGGCTGTTTGTCCCTTCCTTTCTAGGGACAGCAGGAAGAAGCCCTTAGGACACCAGGGTTCACCCTAAGCTGCGGGCYAGATCTGAGTACTAGGGACTAGAGCAACTGAGGGGTCAAGCTCTGRCTGCATACAGGGGTCAGGGTGGCAAGGGGTATAATGTGTGAATATTTGCTGACTTCTGGGCCCACCAACAACCCCAGGCCAGTAGGTGCTCAGCTCAACCTGCTGAGCCCTGAGCCCTGGCTGAGAAGCTCTGCCTCCTCC